GAATTGTTTAATTGTTAGGGAATATAATTATTTAGGTACACTTACATAATTATACTAGCTGATCCCGTGCACTTTGTTGCCCGTTAAAAATGCCAGCTCTATATGAGATTCGATGGTGATAATGCGAGCAATATATTATGCCTACCTGCTGAGTATTATTGAAATAATATGTTTTGTATTTATTTTGATTGCGGACACTCCGATGAGCGGCTTTAAGAGCAACTCAGCCACCCTGGTAGGCAATGTGCGAAAATTCAATTGTATGAATTCGTATAACTGATCTGTTCGATGAACGACTGCAGGCAGCCATAAAAAAAAAAAAAACCATTTTTACTAAATATATTTATATTGCATTTTAACGATTATTTATGTCATATGAACAATTTTATAAGCTAAAGCTTGCTGCTGTGGCTTTTTCAATTCGAAAAACATTCCGGAACTCAGAACATAAATCATCAAAAACATTATTTTTAAAAAAAAGTTTTTCCAAAAAAAATTTTCGGAAAAACCTTCTCCTGGCAATAACGAACAATTAAAAAAAATTTGAGCCAAATTGGCCCGGCCGTTCACAATTGATGAATTGTTATACATTTTTGGCTCCATTTTTATATATATAGAAAGTTATGTAATAATGCATCTATACGATGACTAGTAAGAACCTTACTGAATATTATATCTATTTCATATCTTATGTTAAACTATTATTGATCGGTGGAACATAGTGAAGGTACATAATTATAAGTAATCTTGTATTACACTTTCAAATCTTAGATATGTAATGAAAAATTATTATAAATTTATAACTTAAAATAATTTGCAAATTTTCGTGATTTTTACATATTTTGTGGGATTTGAAGTACAGACGCTCAAAAAAATTGTGTGGACTTCTGAACTTACGTTCAACTTTTTTTTAAACTTCTAATAAAAAAAAACTTATGAGGAACGTTGTATTATATTTTCAAGTTTTTTGACCGAGCTAACATTCTTTTATAGACATTAACCGAAAAAAACCAATAATAATCGAATATTTCATATGTCTATAAATAGTTCAACATGATTCAAAATATTTTGAAAATTGTATGGCGTATGGAAAATGCTAACACAAACAAACGATATTAATTTATCAACAAAAATAATTTGTAAAAATGGTCCAAGTATAGTAAATAATAAATCCGGCCAATACTACTTCTGTTCTACATTTTTGTATAGGTTCAGCCTAGACCAAGACTATTATATCTCTAGTGTAAACATTTTAAAAGCTGAGAAACTACTCATTCGAATTTTTAAATAGATAGGTAGATTAAAACTGTCAAAAAAATTACCCACTTAATAATGTACAGTAAAAAAAGAAGTTATCATTAGAAAAACAGAAATTTGTATCCATCTTTAAGGACGATCCTTAAATAGTACAAATAATTCAAGTGTTTGAAAAAATAGTGCGAGTTATTTAAAAAAAATCATAATTTAAATAAACTCATTATAAAAGGAAATAATGGGGTTGAGAATTCTTGGAGAAACATTCTGTACACAGACAGAATACAACAATCGTAGTTGAATATCGTACGCATACGAACTAGGTAGTGTGTGTGTGTGTGTTGTTATTGTTATTGTCGTTTCAATTTTTTTTCTTCGATATTGTTTCGGCCTCAGTTGGAAAACAATGCGGTTTTGTTCGAAAAAATGTGAGAAGGAGCGGGAGGAGCGGAAAACCGCACGACCAACCCCGACCAACTCTTCTTGACGTGTATCCTGCAAGTCGAATTCGCGTGTATAAATAATAAACATAATATATATATATTATATATATATATATTATATTGTATATAAATATATTATAGACGCCTATAGTCGAGCACAACGGTGCGGCGGACGGACACTACATACACGATGTTCATATACATAGGGAGGTGGGTATATACATACTTACCGTATATACTCGTGTGTACATAATATAATACATACGTCCTATACTCGGAAGTCGTTGCCTATGCCGAAACTCGACTCGCATATAAAAGCATTACCGAATGCACACACATATAGACGATGTGCGACAGGGTGTCCCGCGAGGTTTCACTAATATTTAAAAAGGTATGCGCCGCGTGGGTCGGCGGAGTTCGCGCGCCCCACGCCGCCGCTACTTTAAAATGGTAAATATTCGCTAGACGCCCTCCGCGTACGGCAGCGCATAATGTTATGCGCAGGAGATAGGTACCTGTGCGAGTAATCCGCATTACGACCGAGGCATGTATATATATATATAGATGTGTGTGTGTGTATAAGCTTCCTTTTTAAGACTCAAGACGCTCGTTTTCTGGATCAAAATTGTTTTTTGTTCCATTCAATGTCATTTTAATTGGAATTACGCCTGTGCCATCCATATATACGAGGTCCTACCGCGGATTTACGGATATATGCGATATAATATATAATTGAGTATATACATAATATTATACGTATCCACCTATATATATATATATATATATATATTAGACTAACTTTTTTCATAAGCCAAACGTGTTATAATATTCTGACTGGGTACACCTACCTGCCTGTAATTATTATTACATTATTATCGTCTAAACACGATGACAAACCACCGTCGAAATCGATAAACGTTCGTCCATTTTCATTTTTTCACGATTTTCCGTATACTTGTTTTTATCTTTGAAAGAGTTCCTAACCATAAACCTAACACTTAACGATTTCAAATCGAAAAAATAGATTCGACAATGTCACACGAAACATTTGTGGCGTAGTCATTGCCCGAAAAAGTGTCTGTTCCGTTCAGTATCCTTTAAGTTTAAACATTAAATATAGAACAATAAACATTTGAGTGAACGTTTCATATGAATAAATTGCGTTGTGAAAACATTTTCAGAATTTAAAATCAAAAAATTTGTCACGGTAAAAAAAATACTATTTAATTCACCTCCGTTCTACAGTATATACGCTTATCATATTCGTTACCTCTAAGGACATCCGCAAACAATTTTCCATAGAACATAATGATTATTACTACAGTAAAAAATATAAGTAGATATTTAATATAATATATATAGGGTATTTTTTGAATATTATGATTTTTTTAGATAAATGTAAAATGAGCTAATAGAAAACAACATAAATAATTTGAAATTCACTTCGCTTGTTTATACCTAATTTACTTATATAAATACATTAAAGCATCACCCGATAGGAACGATATTAGTATCTTGCGTAATTTTATTAATACCTTTTTATGAAAAAAAATATATTCATAAATCGAATTTTGATTTGGATACTATTTGTATGACACAAATCGTAATATTACACTATTATTGTGACCATTGACCTGAAACACTAAACAGTGAAAACTGTATAGAAAAGAAAGTCTGAGGGGGAGGGGCAACAGTCCCTACTTACGGTTCGATTCTCGTCTTATGAGGTACTTCGTTTTGGGGAAGCCCTTTCACGAATAATATAATTATTAAGCTTCGTGATCTTTTTGTCGTGTCCAGTTTTCATGGGAAACGCATTACATAGTCACTGCAACATTTTAGTTTCAAATTGCAATACTTATACCGGTACAGTGTACGTCCAACCACTTTATGTGCATCACTTTTTTATTAAATATTATGTTTTGTTAACTGCAGTTATGGAGTATAGTAGATGCACATATTTTAATCTTATAATAACTTCCGGAGAATGGGAAATTATACTAGGTAAAAAAAGAAAAAAGTTTTTTTAATTATACATCAATTTATAATTGGTATTTTTAATTATTTTTCATCTTACAAAACGTATATCACATTCAAAAGTTGAGAGAACACCGATAATAATAATAATATAATAATATAATAATAATAATAATAATAATAATATTATTATAATTTATAATGTTTTAAATTATTAAACTTTAAAACCTATAACAGGAAGCAAAAAAAAAAACTTATACACATATATATTTAAATACAATATATCATGGCGCATTCGAAATACAACAATTATATTTTCGGACAAATAAAATACAAAAAAAAAATCAAATAATAGTAATAATAATGTATACAGGTACTACATAATATAATATATATTATAACACAAGAAGACTGGGCTTAAAAATCAATATTGTAAATTTGGTAAGTAAACATTAAATAGGTAAATGATATGGTACGGAGAAAAAACAAATCCGACATAATAAGTTTAGGAAATATTTTGTATTAATTTTATACAGATCAACGTGCATAGTTTTTAAAATTCACGTTTCCGTTGTACTCGGTATATTATAATATCATTCGTACAACTGGGGTATTGGGTTTAGGTACTTATGACTTATGAGTAATATGTATAAATATATATCAACGTTTTAATTTTCCATTAAATACTTACACGATATACTATAAAACGATTTGGTCAATCATAAATATATATATTAAAAAAAAAAGTAAAATTACAATAATATATTAAACATATAGGCCAATTATATAGGTTCATTATTGTTTGATACAAAAATTGTTCAAGTATAACATAATATACAATATACATATTATAATATTATATATCGTACGTATATGTATGCAATAAGCCTAAGTATCACAACTTTATTTATTTATAATATATTGTTAATAGTAAGACGTCGCCGGGCTTGGAAAACGATTTTAAATATTTAAAACTAAACGACGGGAATATATTATACAGCTAAGCTATAATATTTTGTTATTATTATTATCTCTCTACCTATCTGCTTGTCCATCTACACACAAATAAATACGATGGCAAGAGAGAGATAGAGAATTAGTGAGCGTGGGAGGGATTGAGTAAGAATAAAAAGAGATAGAACTAGGTACTTGTGCACACCCAGACAGGGGGAAGGAGAGGGAGGGGGTGAGAGAGGGAGAGATCAGTGCAAAATATCTACAATTACTATAATACATTTACAAGGTCTTAACATATGGAGAACTCCCCCTGTCATCGAGTCTGGCACGTTATACAAAATATGGAATTATAATATTATATTATATTGGTACTCAAATCTATTCCCAAGCATCGTGCGACGTGATTTCCTTTTAACATACTTTTGATTGATAAAATATTACACCTGCATATATATTATCATATTACGACTAGCAAACGTTAGATCAGTTTCAAAAAAAAATTCATAAACACGAGAAACCATTCGTGAGGGCTGAATACAATTATAATTAATAGTTAAAACGAAGATAATATACATAAAAAAATAATATAGTTAAATATAAATACAAATTTTAATTGACCAAACGATTATATAAAATATATGAGAAGTAAAAGTCTCAAATTATTTGCGAAAAACCATACATTGGTAAATATATTTATACATTACTACGTCATGTAGTTGCGCGTAACTTTTAGGTCTATTTTTTTACTTTTAACTTTTTGTGGAATGAAAAATGAATCCTTTTAATCGCTGTAGCGTTACTAAAAAAAATCAACGTTTAACATTAGAGGAACAATATATCGTTTTAATTTTTTAATAATCAATAAATTAATAAATTTTGTTCGGCGAATGAAGTGGACGCATACGTTTAACGAAATGCTCCGCGAGTCACCACCAAGCAGTATAATATAATGTAAAATAATATCATATTAATATATAGTAATATATACGGTCGAATAACAAAAATATAAGTCTAATAGTAATTGACCGTACATGCGCGCACCTACGTGTTAATGGGACACGAATAACATATTTTAATCATCGCACGTTCAAGAAACAAAAACAGAAAAATTACGTTCTTAAAACGGGGAACGAAATAATATTGGTGGCGGCTGCTGACTTGCACGACACGTGAGGTGGTGATGGAGGTTGAAGTGTTTGATGGGGGAGGGGGTGACGAATATTATAATAATAAATTTATCGTGTGTGTACATGTTGTACAATTATAAATAACATTAAACTATAATAGGTATGTTATTCTTTTTCGACACAAATTTAATTTTTTTTCGGCTTGGCAATCATGAGAACTATATTAACTATTAAACGAAATGCAAAAATGGATTATTTTTTTTTTAATACTCAGTATTTTAAAAAGCCTTTTATTTACGAGGTACATCTATATAATATTTGTAATATTCTTTACGGAACAATAATAATTATCATTATAATGTTTTTTAAACAGCGATAAAAAAACTCCTAAACACACACACGCACACATATACATACACAAAATAGATAGATATAGATATAGATATTATTATACAAAACAAAACATGGTTACAATCGATTTTCTTCGAAAACGTATTACACAACCCAGTCTACTCAGCAGCTCTTATTACCTATATTCATTTTGTTTTACTTTTTTTTTTTTTAAGTCCTTACAACATTTGATATCCGTCTCAAGTAAGCACCCAGTACAAATCGTAAAAATTAATTGGGGAGGGATGAGGGCTAGGAGAAGTTTCCATTATCGTTATTATTTATTTTCCTTACAGTATAGGTGACATGTAGATAAATACAATACAATAATAATAGTATCATAATATTGTGCTTTATATACACATACGTATATTATTATAGCGAAACGTGTAATCACAGATTGTGTCTCGAGAAAGAGACGAGGCACACACGATCCGATAATAATAATTCAACGTCCCATGCTCAAATACAGCATACTTCTTGAGGACTTGTGAGATCACTGCAATCAATCAATGGTCGTGGGCGGGGTAGAGTGGGGGGGGGGGGGATTCTGTATCGTATAAAATATACTATACTGAGTGCTTCGCGTATAAATCACGATGTTATTTTTTTGTTTGCAAATAAAATCTTACCAACACATATACTTATATATGTATTGTTCATATAATATATATTATATCGAATAAATATATATATATAGGTACTTACCTAATAAATAATATAAATCTAAATGTTTAAGCTTCTTATTTTTTTTTAAAATTTTTTAAGTTTTTTTTTTTTCATTTCATTCTTAATCACTAAAATACACATCAAATAAGCATTTTTCCTTTTGAATCGGTGTGAATACGTTTTCTCTAAAATTAACTGGAAATAAAAGCGGGATACGACTGGTAAGGTGAATGTACGAACTGTACTGGAGATCCGTATGTGGGCGGCACGAACGTTATTACGTTCGACGGTTTGACCGGGGACGTGTAGCTGGTATACGAACCCACCATGCCGTCAGCCTGATGTATTTGCTGCTGTTGTTGCTGTTGCTGTTGCTGTTGTTGTTGTTGTTGCTGCTGTTGCTGTTGTTGTTGCTGCTGTTGCTGTTGTTGTTGCTGCTGTTGCTGTTGTTGTTGCTGCTGCTGCTGCTGCTGCTGCTGCTGTTGTTGCTGAAGGTGCTGCTGTTGCTGCTGGTGCTGGAGATGGAGATGGCTGTTGCGGCTATTGTTGAATGGCGGCGAGGACGAGGACAACGATCCGGGGGACGTGGACACCGAAGATGAAGACGACGATGACGACGAAGGACGACCTGGTTGTACGTTGGCCATGTCATGCGGTGTCGGCAGAGGACCTTCGTATAGTACGCAAATGCTGCCGTCCTCCTCGCCGATGCGGTATGACACCTCGGATGGGTCCACCCACAACGTGAGCTCGTCGGGCAGGTACGCGCGAATCAGGTGGCATGACAGGCCGCAAGCGTCAGCGGCACGAGCGATGATTGGGTCCATCTTGTCCTTGTTGATCCGGATGCACCGGTATGCGGAACCGCGGTTTGGCGACTCGGGGAACCAGAAGTCTTTGTACTGACGGTTCATGACGGCTAATAGCGAAATCTGCAGCATCTCGATCTCGGGTTCCAGAAAGAACTTGTCACCCTTGCTACGCACCAGCTTCGACCGGTGTCCAGCGCGCAGCATCGAAATTATAAACTTGACGGCAGATTCCAGTTCCACCCTCATCGTGCGGCTTCGATGATATCGTCTGTTCTATTTCTATGTATATACGATGGTGTAATATGATATGCGATCGCACAACCTGAAACACACGAACATCATCATTATTAATTGTATGAGACGATAAGTTTCGGTCGATTATTGGCTATAAGTATGTGAGTTATCGAACTCACTCGCCGGGCCAACAAAAACCTCAAACTTTAAGACTTTCGGGTAAAATCTAAGTTTGAACACCTCGAACAATCAGAGTAGTTGTAAATTAACGAAAGTCCTATACTACGAAGGTATAGACGATTGTAATGAGTGTTGTCCTATACAACGGAAGGCAGAAAATTGTTTTTTTTTACAATTTTCGTTTATTTATTTACAATATACTAATAATAAGGAGGTAAATTCATTAAATAGGCAAAAAGTTCAAATAAGATTGAATGTCAAACTATAAATAGTTTGAAAGTGTTTAGAAGATCGACATACCAAAAAAAATCTGATTTTATTTTAAGAATATTTAAGTCCACACGTACGAGTTAGTAGTACCTACCTAATTATTATTGTATTGTTGCATGAGTGCATAACCACTACATACTTACAGGTAATCACATTGCAATATCATCCTCAGTTTCCACAGCAATTTTAAAGTGTGGGTCCCAGTATACCCACATATACATATTTGTAGTTATTTTGTATAAATAGTAAACAATATAAAAGTTCGATTTTTTTTCGAATCAGTTTTTTTAAAAAACTTTCAAACTTGCAAAATTTAATTTTCTAGACTGGCACTTTCTGTACCTACTTTACATGTTTATACTTATTATATTTGTGAATATAATATCATTATTATCATTATTTCATATATAGATATTATAGAAATCCCGAAAATAATCACAAAATGTATGCAGATATGAACCTACATTTTCGTTCTAATCCTAAACACCAACCCCTGCCCTTAATCTTAATATATTTATACGCAGAACTACTGCTACTTCCACGCATTGAGCAGCACACTTGTAGTGGATTAATTTAATGATATTAGACGCGTCACGTTTCTGTTCGTTGATTAGGTTAGAGAGATCATAATATTTTCTTATATTAAAGTGTAATACTCAGTGTAGATCGGTCTGTCGCTCGTGATCGAGCTTGACCCCTTCACAAATTCCTCGAGATTGTATGATATTTTAGACGCCGGGCTCGAAAAAGACAATAGAATAAAATGAAGCACAAAGCCACAAATTTTTGCCAGTATTTTATACATATATACTTATAATTATTGTAGGTTGTATACGCGTGCGGGCTTATATGCAAACAATAAAGACACATAATACTATTTTCATCAGTTATTATAATGACAGGATAATATAATGGCATGCACTTGCAATCGCATTACTGTTATGTTTATATATTATATATATTATATATATTATATGATCTGCATCTTGATACATGAGCGTTGTACTACGGTTGCAATTATACAATCGTGTACGCAATGTACATTAGTGAGCGAGTGCCCGCACGGAAGTATGTATACGCCTGTACTCCTTTACGCGGATTTTACGATGAAATGATGTGCCATTTTTTTTATATACATAACAACAGTAATTTTTACGTAAAACTCTTTCGTTTTTTATTAATTAATGGGATTGTGGGAGGGGGCTCATTAAATCAACGTATTAAATTTGATTATACAACAACTGTCCGAACTGGAAATCGAACTCCCAATATTGGTGGCACAAGTAACTGAATCTCGCTCTAAGGCCCAGGCACTCGGAAGTCTATTATTTACTATAGATTATATAGGTATAGGTATATAACTAATATTATATTATGCATTATAATTCATAAATATACCTACTATATGACTAATCATAGTAGATAATATTATATTTGTGTGTAAAAACAAATTATTAGTACAATTGACCTTCAATATATTCATATTAGGGCTTAAAAGACTGATCAGTGATCACCTTATACCAGCTGGTCACGTGTAGTGACACGACTAGTGTAGGAGGTAATCATTCAAACTTGTAGGACTTTTGTGAACCGTTGGCTAGTCTAATCATTGCTGCTCACCTCCTAAATAAAGTCTACTCCCAACGGTTAGTAAAGTTCTGATTTTCAGGTAAAGTGCTTTAGACAACATTCAGTCTTCAGATGTCATTATATTTTAAAGTGTGTACCTATATCTAACATTCTAACCTATATATTTGTCATGATAAATCATTAATTTTATGTCTAAACTTATTACGTTAACTTTTATTATACATCCATCTTCACGAGACGTGCTATGCGTCGTAAAATAATCGTAAAGAAAGATTACTGCGTTCGCTAAACTCGTTTCAAAATTAAAATATCGAAAAACACTTTCAACAGAACTTAGACAATATTATTAGGCACCTTTACGTTTGATAATAAAGGTCAATTCACTCTAATATTAAAATTAAGTAGGTCTTAGCGAAACTAAACGTGAACTGTAAGTACACTGTAGTTGTACACTTAAGACACAACAAATGCGGGTGTGGCGTCCTCTTAAACTATAATATGTACATAAACCTTATTTACTGAGGATAATAGTCCACGATAATAAGTTTAGAAGATTATTTTACTATACGAGGGTTTAAAGGTTACAATATAATTTTAAAAATATAATAATTAATTAAAAATATCTATTAACATTTTTAATAGTTATAAATTATAGTTTATTAGTATAATTGTCCTTAGTTTAAGATGTTGAATAAATCAGATTCTACTGGTTTAAATTATGATTTATATGCACATTTGACGTTTCAATAAAATTATTTACTTAATAATTTAAGGTAAAAAGGGCAATTCTATTTTTTTTAAAGTAGTTTTTCTCACACCGAACACTCCTCAAATGGTGAATGAAATCTAAGTATTTTAAAATGCTTAAAAAATCATAAATTGTATAAATGTATTACCAATTAAAAGATAAAACGGAGTAAGCTTGTTTTATATCATCATAAATATAGGTATATTATATATTTAAAAAACGAATGTGTATTGTGACACCATTAAAAATATTACTTATACTCGTACAATAATACTCAACATTATAATTAATTAAATAATTTAAACTTAAATGATATTATATATTATGAGCATAAGGCGGATTGTATGAAACCGGCAAAACCACAAGCACACGCTGTCTGATTACAAAATGTTTCTAACTACAATAATTATCAATGCAACACAGTGGTCGGATGACATAATAAACACGGTAATTCATTAAATACCAATACTTACATCCATACATACATACATACATACATACATACATACATACATACATACATACATACATACATACATACATACATACATACATACATACATACATACGTCATACATACATACATACATATTACATACATACACAAATACATACATATACCTATGAGAGAATTCTCGACGAGTGAAAAATTATTAACATTTAACAAATTTATTCAATACAACTGCCTTACCTATCCGTCCTATCCACGACCTATCTTAATTTCATACAACTTCAAAAACGAGATAGGTACATACTTATTAATCTCAGAAATCGAAGCAAACATACAATTATACTATAGTACAAATAGTATTATAGTATTAACCCATACTTGAAGTTTTTTACTCTAGAATTAAGATTAAAATATATAATTGTTTTTTAAAATAATAAGAGTTATTATTATTCTGTGAATTAAACGCACAATAATGAACAATCATCTACTCAGAATTAATAGTAATTAGAGTACGCACTTAAGTCTTATCGTTCACAGCTACATTTTTTACAACATGCGACGACGTGCAATTCCTTATGGTAAATTAAAGTGAATGCGGTTAATGCACTATCAAATGAAAATAAATTATCTAGTCAGAGATTGGTAGAGCAAAATAAATATAGCTACATTGCTAAAATAGCAGCAAATGTGTATCTTTCTCTTATGCAAGGGTAACTATTATATAACAATACTATTGGAATAAAGAGTTAATTTAACCAACTGATTAACTGGGGGCATAACTAATTTGTTTTCAAGAAACGGTTGTACAATTGATAAAAACTTTAAACTTTTATCATTATGTATATATAGGTTATCTTAATAGGTCATAGGATACCTAACTTTAAAAAGTGAAACTAACTAAAAACTAATCTATAATTTAAACATAAAATTAAAAATGTCATTATACTTGTTATAAATTAAATTTGTTTTTAAATATTAACTGTCAAAAAACAACATTTAAATTGAAACACCAAAACTTACTTTAGTGATTCCATTTTTTATTCAGTACAAAAAAAATATTGATGTACTATTTATTATAACCGGTAGCCAATAGGTATACAACTATACGAACAGGAGTAGATGTAGGACTTTATAGAACATAATTTCTAAATACGTACCTATACCTAGTAAGTAGAGACAAAAATCATTACATTATTATACTTGCACTCTAATTACCTATATAAGTATATTACGATATATGCGTGACCAACACTGGTAACGATTCTTTTATACGGTAATCAAAATTATTTAGAGGACGTCGTACCCGCTTGCAAGGTAAGGCAAACGCCCCAAGGTAAGTTTATCTGTGTTCTTCCTTTGAATTTTCACGATGTGTTAATTTTTAAGCGAATTATAAGTTTGTAAAATATTAATACATAAAAATGCTCATAATTGACATAACAATTAAAATACCGTAAAAACAAACGAAAAAACATAGACAATATTTTTACATTTAAGTTTGATGATATAGGTAAATTCACACTAATATTATAACACAGAATTATCACTGCTATACGTACATTTTGGTATGTGTTTCATCTTAAGAGGATAGATATTCCCGCATTATAGTGTTGTTTCCGTCGTACAAACTCACATGTCAAATTGTACGTTTAGAATAAAAATTGAATGCTGATATTTTTGATATAAGAGTAAATTAACTATTATCAAATTTAAAAATTTTTTCATCCTTAAGGATGAAAAATTTCAAGTGCTTATCAATAGATTAATATAAATATTTTTAAAACATGTGTGGGTATATAATAAGTAATAACATGAATAATGCCAGAAATTTCCAAGTCTCAAAAGATCA